ATGTTCACATCGTAGAGTTGAACGCGAGTATATAGTGTCTCTACTTTAAAGAGTCCTCTCCTGCTGATGTTCAGGTGTATATCAGTATGTAGTGTCTCTACTTTAAAGAGTCCTCTCCTGCTGATGTTCAGGTGTATATCAGTATGTAGTGTCTCTACTTTAAAGAGTCCTCTCCTGCTGATGTTCAGGTGTATATCAGTATGTAGTGTCTCTACTTTAAAGAGTCCTCTCCTGCTGATGTTCAGGTGTATATCAGTGTGTAGTGCCTCTACTTTAAAGAGTCCTATCTTGGAGAAATCCTATTGGACCAGGAGATGCTGCCTTCAGGGTCCAATGCAGGAATACCACATCCCTGTATCATTGTATTTAACCCCTCATCATATCATATTACCTAATCATTCATACTTCCTTTCCTTTCCTTTCCTTTCCTTTCCTTTCCTTTCCTTCATGCAATCTTTATCATCCAGATCTATTGAGATGTCTGGTGAGCATCTTGAAGGCGACCTCAATCCTCTGAGAGGCACTCAGCTAGAGAGGTGCTTCCTTTGAAAGAGTTATTGTTGAATTAGATTCCACAGTCAGTCTGGATTTGCTCGTCCTTTCTTCCACATTGCCTCCGTCTGAGATGTTCAGCGTTGCAAAGAGGAAACGTCTGCTGCAGTTCGACTCGTCTGAAGCGTGCAGCGCTGAAAAGAAAATGGTCTCTTTGATGGTTTTGTAAAGCCTGCAGAGCTGAGGGTGAACTCGTATCACTCCACCTGCTCAGATCTGAGCTTACAGAGACACTTTGCGTCTGTGGAAACGGAGATAAGGATGCTGCTTTCTCTGAAACCCCCCCCCCCCACTCTGAGCGTCTTCTGCTTACCAAAAAGTGAAGCATTCCTATCCCTGGAAACGGCAGGAATTCAACGTGTTCCTCGAACGCTTCTTACGTGCTTGGTAGTGGTGTTAAAATAAGATAAGATGAAACTTTATTTATCTCCTTGGGGAAATTCAGGCGTTTATAGCAGCAACAGGGTCAGAGTTAGAAACAGGATTCACACGAGGTAAACAAAGAGACAACATTGAATAACATATTTAAATAATGATACACAATGTTTTTAAATGAAGTGATAAAGAAACTGTTGAATCAAGATTTCACAGTAAAACGTTGAGCATTTGAACGAACATGTTAAATATATCAGTGTGCAGAGGGGAGTGCAGGGTAGAGTCTTGTAAAAACAGTGCAGGTGTTATGTTTGAACGGTCCTGGTTACTATTTGCTTACCTTATAAGACTTCCATCCTAGATGACCACAAGGGTCATTTTAACTCCCTGTTTTAGGGCCTAATTACTTCCTGTTGGAGGTTTAATCACTTCCTGTTGGAGGTTTAATCACTTCCTGTTGGAGGTTTAATTACTTCCTGTTGGAGGTTTAATAACTTCCTGTTGGAGGTTTAATTACTTCCTGTTGCAGGTTTAATCACTTCCTGTTGGAGGTTTAATCACTTCCTGTTTGAGGTTTAATAACTTCCTGTTGGAGGTTTAATAACTTCCTGTTGGAGGTTTAATTACTTCCTGTTGGAGGGTCTGGGCAGCTTAAACCACACATTCAAGGTGTTAGCTAACTAGCTATCGTTCGTGGGACCAAATCCTTACAGACTGCTCAATAAACCCAATGAAATGAACGGTGGCGTCTTGTGGAAGTAGGTAAAGCGGTACTTTTATTGAATCAAATTGTAAATTGTGTATGTCTGTGTTTACCAAACAAATGACTAAAACCATCTTGACTACAAAGCTGAGGTGGGCTGAGTCACTTCAGCTTTGTAGTCGAGATGCCTTTTTGCCATTTGCAGTGTGAATGCAACAAAGAGACACACACATATAGTTATCAGCCCCCCCCCCCCACCTCTTTAACTGGGTGTCTGATTGCTTATTGGTTGAATCCAGTTCTCTTGAATTTTCGAGAACTGGATTCCTCTAACAAAAGACATCCTGGCAGCCATCAGTTTTATAAAGAAACTTTACAAAAATACTTTGAGTCTGAGGAAAGGGAGATAAGGATTGTGCTTTCTCTGAAGCGCTGCGAGGCTACAGGGCCTTTTCATATGGCTCTGAAACCAGTCTACTTACCAAAAAGTGAAACATTTATATTCTATGTATGTCTGGAAGGCTGGTAGCCATCTTGACCCACTTCAGCTTTGTAGTCAATATGTTGACCATCGAGCCTTTTTGCTGTTTTCAGTGTGAATGCAACCAAGTGTAGAAAGACACAGATTGAGACACAGCATGTATAGTTATCAGCCCCCCCCCC